CTGCCCACTAGTACTGAAAGTAAAAGTGACATTCCCACACTAAATCTGGAGAACGAAGAGCTGTGGTGCTACTGGCCACCTCATTTGCCCTGTTGTTAATGAGACCAACAAGTGCTTCCCCCATGAATGTGAAAATGAAAGCCATGAATGTCTCCCAGGTATCAAGTTCCCTGCAGGGGCAAGAGTAAAACTGTTGCATTTCATTTTGTGCAGTGCACAGCAGGAGGAAAGGCAGCACTCCACCAGATAATGCTGCTTCTCACCTGGAGCAGCTTGTTCTCAGTTCTCCTGGGACTCAGTCGATAACTGCCTCCCCCCCTCCCCACAATCCCTGGACTGCAATAGTGGGATGCACCTGGATTTGTGGATCTAGGCCTAAACACTTGCCACACTGGACTAAGAAAACATTTACACCTGGGACCATATCAGACATGCAGAAGCTTTTAATCCTTGTAGAAAAGGATGAGGAATGGGAATTACCCTTCTGGGGTAAGGTATAGTCATAGTGATAGTTCATGTATTGCAAGAGGCACTTCCAGAATAACACTGTAATTTAGAATAACACTGTAATTTAGCTCTAGTCGAGCTGTATAAATCCTTTAAGAAAAAAGGGACACTTGCTTATAAGTGTAGTAGAGAGCGGGATTGAACAGGCACCACTTCATTAAATGTAAAGTGGCAGCAACAGCTCCAGGCTGTGCAGACAAGAGCCACTCTGCACCACAGCTCTGTTTGCTTAACAGCGAAATGTCCCTGTGTGATGATAAAGCCCATGGCTGTACCATGTCCTTTCACAAGCCCCGCCCTGTTTTAAGGAGGGAGGTTCCAGCTGAAAGGTTTCCGGAAGGGAAAAGCATCAGGCCTCCACCTCTTGAACAACGCTATAAGTTCAGGCTCAGCTTGAGGAAAGCCCATTGGTCATCCTTTCCCATGGCACCTTAGGGGACAGAGCGTAACGTAAAAGCTCTGTGTCTTTACTGTTTAAAAACTCTAAACCTTGGGCAAGTAGTGAAAGGCATCTGACCAACGCTAGAGAAATTAAAAATTTCAACTTGGAGCAATCAACACTGATTTTATTTTTAAAGAACTCTTTGAACAGTATTGAAATGACTTGAGTTGTCTGTCAGTGAGCCTTACCAAGGAAACAAGTGACGGGTTTCATTACATTAGGTATGCAGGTTTGGAAGCCTCTACCATGAGAGTGGCATGAGATTTCTCTGTACCATTTCCAGCAGCTCAGATGAAGAAAAACCTGCTAGAGCTTCACCGCTTCAAATATGCAGCTTGGTGTAATTATCCAACTACCCTGCATACATGTGTAACCCATTGAATCTTAAATGGTTCTTTAACAGTAAGAAGGTAATTGTATGCAGTACATAACACAGTGATAAGAACTGTGAAATTACACGTATGAAAATCTTTATTTGAAAATACAAACGTTATTTTTAAACATTTTAAACAGTTCTACACTGCAACCAAAAAAATAACTTACATCTTTTTGTACATTTTTCTTTTCCTTCAACAAAAGCTGTTTAACAGTAAGAGTGAGGCAACAATTTCAAGCTGCTGTGACACTGATGAATATCCATGGAATGTGTCAATAGCAAACAACTGAAGGGGGGACAGACGAAAGCACTGAATGCCCACAACAAATTAGTGCACATCACCGATCAAGTAACATTTATACAAAGGATTTTAAAAAAAAAAAAATTGGTTCCTTGTCTACATGAATTAACACACTCATTCTGGATCAAGTATGAATGCTAATACAGACTTCATTATTAATTAATCTTCCTGTAATGAATATCAATGAAAAGACTGAAGTTTAAAACAGCAAGCAAAATTAAAGATGGGGCAAGCAAGGACTACACCGAGAAGAGGAGCAACCTTGTCTCGAGCCTTCGCTTTCTTCCTGCAGTAATATGCTCAGCTTGTCAAATGCAACTCGGCTTGTGAACGCGAGCCGAATCACACGCTCACGGCCACATCTCTTCCTTGCCAGGGTGTAAAATCTCCGCGGCTGTCTGCGAGCGTACAAGTGTTGCAGGCTGGGTATCAGTGTTTTCTCCTGCCCTTCCGCACTAGGACAGAAAGACCTGCTCGCGTACGGGACGGCAATGGTCAGGGCGGCACACATCGGCTTGGAGAGAATTACAAAGGTCTTTTAAAAACAGTAGATTACTTCTCTCTACAGTCAAATATTGTTATTCTTCCAACAAGGAATTATGCAACATGTGTAAATAAATACTTTAATCTATTTTACAAACTATAGACTATTGAATAAATACAAAAAGTTTCATCATTCCATACAAATGCACTTCTTTTACTTAAAAGGTAGTGTAGTGATTAAATATTTTTAGCACAAACCCAATTCAACTTCCTGGAAACAAACCCCACTGAAGGGTATTGGGGTGCGTAGCAGACCTGCTGCAGGCTGTCCCTTCTCTTCCACAAGTGTCGGCTGGAAGTAACCACTACTCAAAGTCCTCTTCGTAGTCATATTCGTCCAAGTCTACATCAGCCAGGTGGGAAGGCATTTCAAAAAATGGTCTTTTTTCCATTTGATACTTCAGGACATTGGCCTTCTGAAGGTCTACAGGATTCAGTTCTGCTTCATACCTAGGAGAGGGCAAAGAAAGAAACTGAAAGCCTCTATAGCTATGCCGGGAAGCACCTGAAAGTTAAAACACTAACAAGGTACCAGCAGGAGGAAGATAATTTCCTATATTTTATATTTACAGTGAAGACACGTGTAACCAGAAGCAGCACTAGGCTTACATAAGAATTACTTAAATTCAAGCTGGCTTACTCCCCTGTCGCATGCAGAACTCATTAGTGAGACACTGAAAGGATCCAAAGCACGTACTGCTCTGGTGGACTAATGTTAGAAATGGTCAAATGCAAGACTTACTTAAGTACTTGACAGAAACCCCTTATGTTCTTCTCACAAAAGCTGAAATTGGGCTCAGTTAAGGAAGAGCAAACGACACCACAGAAGATAAAACATGAGAATGAAAGTCAATTTGAAAGTCCCATTAAAATGCGTGTGAGCAGAAGGAAACTATTGCAACCATGTATTTAAAGCAGGTGCGAGAAAGCAAAAGCCAATTGTTTAACCAGAAATTACTGGTCACCACCTGCTGCCAGTGAAAAATGAACAGATAGATAATGGAATGTAAAGTTTAACTAACTCAGGTCAGTGAATTTATTTTAAAAAGGTCATCTTCAGCACTGTTTAGGTGGGATCACTCTGTAATTGATAACTATTAAAAAAAAATTAAGTATAAATCTGTGGAGATTTCTGACATCAGATTAAAGAGACGACCATTTCCTGAGCTGGGTTGACTCAGGCTCATGCACAACTTCCCTTTTTTATCTCGGCACACAATTATTTCCATCTACTTAGCAAGACTCAGCTAGGCAAAGAACGAGCTTTGGATACAGCAATATCTGCTCTTCACATGTGGCTCTATAATGGCCTTCTGGGGTGCTGAGGTGAAGTATTTTTTCAGGGAAACACACAGGGCAAAGAAGAGTTAAATACTAAGAATGCACTATGAACATGGAAATAGAGCAGCATTAACAGCAGAGGTGGGAGCAATAATGTTTTCCAATTTCTAACTGTGAATTCTGTTGAAACACTTGATTGAGAAACTATTAAACATATTAAAGAAGCTTCACCACCATTTTCAGTAAAAGAAATCTAACAATATAAAGATGCTTTGGTATCATCAGCTACAGATTCACCAGTGAGTAAAAACAGTTCCTGACTTCCTTTCCTTTTTTTTTTTTAAAAAAAAATTTTCATCCTTCCCATTGGTATTAAAGCCTCAGTTACGTGAGCATCAGTCAGTGCTTAGGAAGTGACCAGAAAACCTTGGGTTTCTCCCACGAGGTCACCAATTTGCACAGGAAACAAAAGTCATCCTAAGAATGACTTGACCCAGTTACAAGTTTGAAAACAAAGATTTGGAAGGAAGACACATATTCTACCATAACAGTTTTGGCTCACACGCCTGTAATCTAGTCTTCTACATCTTCAATTCCATCTTTTTGAGAAGCATTTTCATTCTTTTTTTAAACAGAAACACCCTGAACAAACACACCTTTTGGATTCGTTTATTGCTTAGCAATACAGAGAGGTGGTAGCAGCTTTGCTGGTCATTAAAAGATGGCAGCATGAAGCTATCTTGGAGACCATTTGTAGGTTCCATCCATCCTATACTCAAAAGATTGTTATTGGAACATTATTGGACCAAATTAAAACCTCACTCCCTCACAAAGCTTTGGTGAACTCATGGAATATCGCTTTTACTCCTTTGCAAGATATTTGAGTTAAGGAAATTTAGAAATGCTGTCCCAGTTTTACACATCTGGGCACTGAAACTCTTAGAAAAGCCTATTGCTGCTTCCTAGCACAGAGAAGTACGTGAAGCACTAAGTGTCCAAGACCCGTTTAGAAGTTCACTGAGGAATGAAAATTTAAGGTAAATTTTAAAATAGAATAGGAAAGTTTTAACTTGAGTAACATAAGATGTTTCAGATTGTTTTCACAGAATCATAGAATGTTAGGGGTTGGAAGAGACCTTGAAAGATCTAGTCCAATTCTCCCACCAGAGCAGGATCACCTACAGTAGGTCACACAGGAACACATGCAGGTTGGTTTTGAATGTCTCCAGAGAAGGAGACTCCACAACCTCCCTGGGCAGCCTGTGCCAGGGCTCTGTCACCCTCACAGGGAAAAAGTTTTTCCTCATGCTGAGGTGGAACTTCCTGTGTTCTAACTTATACCCATTATTCCTTGTCCTATATTACTGGGCACCACACTGAGAGGAGACCGGCACCTTCCTCTTGACACCCACCTCTCAGACATTTGTATATATTAAGATCCCCTCTCAGCCTTCTCTTTTCAAGACTAAACAGCCCCAGTTCTCTCAGTCTCTCTTCACAGGAGAGATGTTCAAGTCCCTTAATCATCCTCGTAGCTCTCCGCGGGACTCTCTCCAGTAGGTCCCCGTCTCTCTTGAATTGGGGAGCCCAAAACTGGACACAGTATTCCACGTGTGGTCTCACCAGGGCAGAGTAGAGGGGGAGCAGAACCTCCCTAGACCTGCTGGACACACTTTTCTTAATGCACCCCAGGATCCCATTGGCCCTCTTGGCCACAAGGGCACGTTGCTGGACAACTCACTGCCCACTAGGACTCCAAGGTCTTTCTCCATGCGGCTGCTTTGCAGCAGGACGTCCCCTAATCTGTACTGGTGCCTGGTGTTATTCCTGCCCAGATGCAGGACTCTATGCTTGTCCTTATTGAACTTCACTCAGCTCTCTAGCCTGTCCAGATCTCAATGGGTAGCAGCACAGCCTTCAGGTGTGCCCAGTTTCATATCATCAGCAAACTTGCTGAGGGTACTCTCTGTCCCCTCATCCAGGTCGTTGATGAAGATACTGAACAAAACTGGACCCAGTGCTGATCCCTGGGGAACACCACTGGCCACTTTCTGTGTAAAGCCATAGAACCATGGCTCCAGGTAATCTTTGAAAACATTATTTGTGGAAAAGAACAGGAACAACCCCAAGAATATTGGCTGTGAATTTTGCAGCTTTTATCTTCACCAAGAGCAGATATCTTGGGGCAGGGGAGGGGATGGGCATGGGAAATAGAAAAGTAAAATAAAATTTAGTCTAAACAATAATCACAGAAGTGCACTTAGCTCTGAGAAACAGCTGCAGTCAACAAGCTTGTAACTGAATCAGAATAAAGCACCTTTGAGGCTCTTACTTTATATCCTGTTTGTGCTTCTGAGTGAAACTGTGCCCAAACGTTATCTTAGAACTTTACAATGTGATGCTTGTCTACAACAGCCCAATGATTTCAGACTCTTAGTCAGAGGTGCAGAGTAACCTGACTTCCTGACATGCAGGTCCCAGTTGAAATCCTCCCCTGACAGCCTAGCTACGGATTAACTTTTACAGCCCCTAGACTGGAATTTCAAGCACAGAGAGTGTATCCTAACTGACGAAAGAACTGCTTTCTCAGGGTATTCCACAGCAAAGCTATAAGAGGCATTAAGAGCTGTAAGAAAAACTAATAGGATCTTAATGGCATCCAGGAAATCTGCATTTAACTGTCAACCTTAGGTAAGCTTGAGGCAAGTTTACTAAAAAGACCCACCTAAGTGTCACAACTTTGTATCTGAAAATGAGCAAAACGGGCTTTCCACTCAAGATTCTAGAAAGCAACATCAGAAGGATTTTAAAACAGGAAGATGGAGACACACAGCTACTGTGACCTGTGGCTGCACTGATTTACTGTCCTGTACTAAGGGCCCCCAAACCCAACAGACACCGAGATGGTGGCAGACACTGCAGGGGCTGGTTTGATCCTGTCAGGAGTAGCCAGAGTTCCACAGTAACTTCTTAAAATTTGGACTCCTGATGGTTTAGGCATGTAACTTTTATAAGGGTGTTATAAAATAGAGGGCTAAAAATCTAATCCTTCATGAGTTTGTAAGAACCCCACTAGTTTTGTCAGCTGAGTTACAAAAAAAAACCCCAAACATTTCACAGCCAGTAAAGACTGTAGAAACTATTCTTTTGGCTGATCCATCAGACTTAAGCTTTTAAACTTGGTGTTACAGCATCTCCAACAACTGTCAAAATGTACATACCTATGCTATACCTTCTCCAGGCTTAGTTTATGACCTTAAGAGATTAAATGAGATAAAAAACATTGATTAAAAAAAAACAAAAAAAAATGCCTAACTTGCAGCACAACAAAGACTCAGTTATTTTTTGGCTTGTTAATTCTGTAATATTCTAGTGAAGAGTTATGCACATGATCCCCCTTACTGCTGAAGAAGTTGGGTGATAGTAACCTTTCTTTCCCTTCCCTCTCTCATCCCTCACATGCATTTTTTTTAATGACACTTCTTGAAATCAGTATGTTAAGATTGTATTTTCTCCGGTTTTAAAACACTCTTAAATATCAAGCCTGTTATTCTCTAAATGCTTAGCAAGAATCAGAGGTATTTAAAAAAGGAATATTGATGCAGGAAATGAAGGATGCTGTATTTTCTCTAGACAGGTGCATCAGCTTAAGGCCTAAACCCAGTTATATTTGAACTTGTTTTCATTATATTTTTAAATAATGAAAACAACAAATGGCAAATTCAAGACTTTGGAGGTTCTGGACGCTACACAACACAAGTACAGGAGTGGTTTTGAAACAGCAAGATTTATTATCTCATTTACTCTTAGAGGACTGATAGAAAATACTTCCAAGCTGATATAATTGAGTTCAGAACTGAGATTCCCCCCACCTCACCTCAAAGCTCTTAATGAAGCTCTTCATCAGTTTAATAACAAGCTACAAAATATATTTTAAGTTGAAGCTTTTTCAAATTTTGTATTTCCTCCTAAAGTTTGAAGTAGGGCCTTTTCTTTGGTGAAACCAATTTGGTGAGAAACTGTCAAGGAATATTTAAGCTGAGATATGAGAAAGGTTCTTTCTCACTCACCGAGCACACGACTAAACGTAACAAACAGCAACGTTCTTCAAAAACAGCATCAAGGATGACAGTGATGGTGAGGCTCTACACATTAGTAGAGAGGATTCCTACCAACCCTCCTGCTACATTCTTACCCGTCACTCCACTGGTCACTCGCTGCCTCTTCTGCTACCAAGATGTCGTACTCTTCAGCAGCATATTTCTCCCAGTCAGAGACCTCTTGGCTTTCACCTTCACCATCCTAAACAATCACATTGCACGTTATACAGAAATGCATTAATTGTTAAGCACCTGGCTAAAAAGACTTCAAAGCTTTATACTCACCCGTAACATAGAAAACTGATCCTTCTGTTCATGATCAAGGTATTTTTCAATGTTGAAAAAAGTATCAAAAAACACATTTGACAATTTGCATCGCTTTAAATCGTGCAGAGTAATTTTTCCTGTAAAGAAGATCATGAGACAAGGTATTTAGAGCTGAAATTATCCTTTCTCCAAACAGGAAGAAGGTTCTTCAAAGGTTAAGTCATTATTAGGCTCAAGAACATCTATCACACATGCTCAATGCAACAGGAGAGAAATGAGAACCTGAAATCCACACCTAGAAATGTGTCTCCTGTAAAGCAGACAAAACTTTTAAACATTTCAGATTCATTACTTGCTTTAGATGTCATCCTACTGTCCTTCAGAACATTGGAGTGAGATGCAGTTGACTTCTCTTAGCTATTAAAAATACTTCTAAGTAATTGCCCAAGCTTCCTCAAGAGACAGGTCTCCAAGGAGCTAGCCATATCTTCCCAGAAGCATTTGGGTAGTGGGTAGGAATCTCCTCTGGCAGTGGCCCTTTCTAATCCCTGATCTGAAAAGAAAAAAGCACGACAGCGATGACTCTGTGTGCCTACGCTTCATCCAGATGAATTTTTCAGAGAGACCAGTTTGCCACGCTTGTCCAGCCTGATCAATACTTACTGCTTGACAAGAAAGCTAACTTCTCAGAGGTGTTTCGTCTGCTTGTTTTTTATAAAGTGATACTTTTACAGACTCGAAATCAATGGATCTGTTCAGCGTTAGAAGTATTTGTGAGGCTGCTCAGAACTGGCACCTTATTTCAAAGCTGAACATTCAACTTCTGCAGAAAGACTGAAAAATACCAAATACGCAGGGGCAGACAGATGGCTATCCTTAAGACTCCCTTTTATTGATTCACATGAAATACGACCAATCTCCTGTCGTCCGTCAAAGAGTGGCTAACTGCAGATGTTATGGAATTGTTCAGTAAAAGCCAGACTTGAGAACGGCATTTCCTGAGCGCGCTGCCCAGCCCCTAACCAAGTACAATTCAAGGACGTCAGAGGGAAGCAAACCCCGAATCCCATTTGGAAGCTGTCACCAGGCTTGTGCCTGTCACCACAAGCAGTGCCCATAGTGCATCCTGCCTGGCTTGGGGCTGATGCTCCAGAACGACACAAATCCCTCACGGCACCTGTGTCCGATCTGTCAGACCCACACAGATGCACTGAGGCCATCTCAAGTGGCAGCAGCTCTCCACAACCAAGCAAATGGTTTGAGTCCCAGTTATATAAGCTCCCAATTTAAGTGAGACCTATATTTGGTCTGTCAATTTGCTCTTCGGTTTCTGTTTATTCCAATGGGAGCTTAGACACCTAACATTCATGGGGATGTCCACCACTGTCTCCAAAAACAACAAAGGAAAAAAAAAATTGAGATAATTCAGGCATCTAAATTAAATAATTTGCTTTTTGGTACACAGCAAACTGTATGACAGTTTAGCTCTAACGTCATGGAAGTACCTTCTTTTGTTTCAAGTTGACCAAGTGAAATGTCACCTTATGCTGCTAGTTGGTTAGTTAAAAAACAGAAGATTTTTTTTTTCTTCAACCACCTCTTAAACATCACTCGGTTTTTATGAAAAACCATCAACACTTCACAATTGGCTTTCATTTCTGTTGCCCTAAATGATCTTAGTTCTGTTCCACAGCCTCCTTTTATCACCTTCATGATACCGAACAGACAGATCAATCTTGTTTCATTTGAAATGCACGACAGAAACATCGCTGAACATGTCTGCCTTACAGAAGCGTAACGTATGGGAACCCCTGAGCACAGGATGTCATTGTAGGTCATCACATCACACAGAGCTTGCTTTGCTTCATCAATGCTCCCCGCACCCCACGCATCACACAATGACGGTCTCGGACTTCATTCTGCCAATATCTAGGATTAAGCTTCCAGATAAAACATCCTTAATACCACTTCTTCATTTTCAATGTTTTCATCCACCTTTAGAAACTTGTTTTCACCTAGCAAATCCATTTTAACTTTGTTTAAGTAAGAATATGAAGCTTTAAGTTCTACTTTTGAGCTGTTTCAATTCCCTTGGCATGTAAAAAAACATGTCTCAAAGACAAGTGTCCTTTAAAAATAGAACTAAGCTTCCTATAATTTAAATATTCTTAACACTGGAAAGAAGATGCGTAATAAGCAGGACTTTTAATTGATTCTCTAACCATAATTACATAGACAGCAACAGATCCACTCTCTTACATATTCAAGTGATGCTTGAAATTCAAGGAGGAAAAACTCAGTGTTTCATCTAGAAGTGTCTAAATGAGGAATACTAGCACAACATTACATTTGCTAAACAGAAACATTAAGACGGTCAATAACTTTATTTTACCATAAAAAATATAAACATTAATATGTGCAATAGAGGTTGCTACTACTATCAAGCGCTTTAAGAGCAAATAAGCAAGTTCTAATTTTATTGCAATGCAGAGTCTGTACAAAAATAGCAACCAGACTACATTCCAAGTGCTTTTACACACTGAAATTCACATTGAAAAGTACAACCACAATAGGACTAACTGTGGTCCAGCGTTGAGGCGTTAAGTTCAGATGCAGGCTGACCTCAGTTGTGTTGAGTTCAACAAATCCCTGATGACCAATCCATCATGGCCACAGAAGTTTTATCAACTTGTGAGACCAACACCAGAAACAACACAGAGGCAGAGGCCATGAACATGCAAGATACCACTCCTTCAACACCATGGTAAGATGTTTCCCAAAGTATGCAAGAATATTTTTAGTACTGGGCAGCACAGAATGGCAAATACAAAGTGAGCATTGTGCTCCACTGCTAACCCAGAGCAATGGAAGTTACAGATGGAAAAGGATTTTATTACCTTCATGTTGTGGCTTCACAAGGTCCAGCATCTGGCATAAACAGTCTTCAAATGGTAAAGGTTCTATTGCCATGTTATCTAATTTTTGGCACTGTTCTTCATAAAAATACTCCAATTCATACATAGACAAAGCACCATCTCCATCAAGATCCATGCAGCGAAACCAGTATTCAATGCTGAAATTCAGTAATTAATAGCAAAGAACTGTTTAGACAAACTTACTGCAGAATTTCAGGAATTTCTGCTGCCTGTTTTAAAGACTATGATACCTACAGATGCAAAACTGGACTTAAGACTACATTCCATAAGGCCATAGAAAGTCATTAAACACCACCTAGCAGGGTAAGAGTTTCTGGTATTTACTGTATAGCATTTCAAAACTCACTTGTTAACTGAGCCAGTGCAGAAGAGGGACTAAAATGGGGTTTTACACAAAACCCCCAAGGAAGCCCATGAAAAAATGAATTGTGCATCAAAACCCAAGTTGTTCTTTCCATATTGGAAAAGCTAGTGAAATGTCACCAGATAGGTTTCGTATCAATACCCTACAGCTGATGCTAGCTGTATTGTTTCCCAAAGCCACTGGCATCACAAAGGAACTGCGATTTCCTCTATCTGTGACTCTGTCTGTAAGTAGGCCACACAGAGCATGTGAAACAATTAACCTCTTAGAAGTCACTAAAAAATACAAAGAAGACTCCTACAGCAGCAGGAACAAGAGACATTGAGAAATAAGAATGATGCAACGAACTAGGCCAGTTCTCCACTCATGTTTTTGTAGTTTAGCTTATTTCAGAGTTCCAGCTGAGTGTCAGCAGCTCCACTTAAGCACTGGGAAAACAATAAAATCAGCCTTTTTTTCTGCTAAAACATAAATTCGTTCTTACCTAGTTGGTGTCTTCTTGTCCTCTTCAGATATCAGAAACCAGACAAAATCAGCGTAGCTAATTTTCCCATCCTTTTGTGCTTTTCTACCTCTTGAAGGCCAACAAGAAAAAAGAAAACCTAGTCAGGCAGGCAATTCCCAGACATAATACAAGTCATTCCTAAAACACAGTTTTTGCTGGTTTATCCTCAAGATGTCTAGAAAACACAGTGTATGTTTTGTGGCACCCAAAAAACTCACATAAATGGAGTAAATTCTAGACTGCCTGCCAAGCATCACTTCACTCATTTCAGCTTTTGTTATTTCTTTTTATCAGCCTCTTTTTAGCTGCAGATACTGTGCTAGCAAAGTGTTGCAAAAACGAGTAAAATGCCATAAATACACAAGAGGAAGTCAATCCAAGTGGGGAAAAATTAAAAAAAACTGTCAAAAATGTAAGTGAACTCAACTGGAGGCATTTTTGTAAATTTGTTGATGCAATAAGCGTTGATTTTACAATGTACTGAAAAGCTCAACTCCCTTTGAAAATTTTACAGGCTTGAGGGATGGAAAAACACCTATGCCAACTCTTCTTCCCTTCCTCATGCCATCCCTGCTAAATCACACCATATCCAACGGCAAGTGTTCATGTGAGTAAAGAAAGAGCAAAGAATTTGGATGGAGCCAAAGGTTCCAAGAACACTCCAGTACTATTAGAGTCCAAACCACAATACTAAATCCCAAAATTCACTGCTCCACTTCAGGGGGAAGGCACTTTTTTCCCAGGAACATCACACAATTTAACAAGCAAATATTAAGTAGGATATAGATCAGCATACAAAATAAGTACCTTGTTACTGCTCCCGAGAAGATCCTCTCTATCATCCTATTTGAAATTGCTGTGAAACAAAGTTTAAAACAGTGTCAATTTTACACAAGTTATTTTTGTTTTGCATTTTCCAGCAGAAAGAGTTTACTGGAACCCTCTTACACATACACATCTGTGAGAAAGATCAAGTGCAGCGCTCTCTAATCCCACTGAGTCCTCTTGGAGAGGATCTCGTCACACAGTCTCCAAAGAAAAGCTAGAACCAAGCGGCTTTGAATTCAGACTCGATACAGAAATGGTGGCGCAACAGAAGTAATAAACTTGACTGACTTATTAGTCAGACTGCATTTACCGTATCTTCGACCAGAAAATCATGTTTTCGAGTGCCATTACAGTTTATAAGACCTTGGCAAAGAGCCAAACGAGACTTGGCAAGTGTGCACCTAATGAGCATACCCAACTGATTCTGACATGGGTCTATTTCTGATGCGGTTCTGAACTGTGCTTCTATTCTGAAACCATTTCAGGGATTTTAGAGACATGTCTTAACTGAGCACTCTGTCTGCAAAGGATATTCAATTTATCCTGAAGAATTTGTGGGTGGTACTCAAAGCAGCACATGATACTATTCTCAGAAGAGCAGAATTACTTCTCATTATTCTAGCTCTGGATTTTTTTTCCAGCACTGTAGAAATACTGATAATCAAAGCAGTTAACCATTCAAATAGTTCATCTGTTTTATATACGTATGATGATGCTACAACCGTATTATTCCAGTAAAGACACTAGTCCCTACTTAGTATTTTTCCCCAGAACTGCAGGAGAGCCAATTTGTTTCACAAATATGTGCTGCTGTTTCTTCTCAGCTACTTTTGAAACACTGAGGTTGTTCAATCTCCTCAACAAATGCTACATACTTTAATATTTTCTTATGACTTGTGTTTGATTTAGCCTAATTTTAGACCAGTGACAGGACGAAAGGGAAGAACCGATGAAACCAGATTATCTAATTTTGACATTTTAAAAAATAGAAGTTTAAGACTAAAGTTGGGCTATCACACTTATTTTAGGATCTTACTTAGTCTAATTCTAGCAGCTGTTAAACTTTCAGAAATATTCCATGATTTAGAGGATGCAAAACTAAATTGTAAGCGGCATTGCATCAGTTCTGCTTCCTTTCTATAAGGTATTAAGTGGAACAACCACTCAAACGAGAGCAGCTTTCCTTCCTCAGACCTCAGTGGGTGAGTTTTCAGAAGCAATCAGTCTGCTTATTCTTTTTAATGTGGGATAGTATTCCATAATCACTTTGTGCCTCAGTAAGCTTTCCAGTCCTGAAGGGAATACTTTTAAGATGCCAATGGACAAAAAACATCAAAAAAAATCCAACAAAACCCCTAAAAGTTACATACAAGCTATTAGAATATTTAAAATAGATACGGGTGTGCAAGACTGGAGAATTGCAGTCATTGTATATACTGTGAATGCAGAAAATTTAATGCTGCTAAATAGAAGAAAATGTACAGCAAAACATACAGCAGCCAAGTTAGCAAAACTTTAAGTAAGCAAAGTATCTGAATGTTTGCCTTTTTCTGTGAAGGCTCTGTAAGAGCCACGCTACTTGAGTAATAACAGTAGAATAGATTAGTTTCCAAGATAACAACCCCAAACCACCAAATGCAGCCATTTATAATGTGCCAAGACTTAAATGATTTTTTCTTCTTTGCCAAGATCAGAATTCAGATTCATATTTTTCCTCAGATTTGGTGTCGCCAGACACAAAAGCAGCATGGCAGATGACTTGCCTGGCTTTATTTCACTGAGTCAGCAGGATCAGCCGTACCAACAGCCTCATGAACACCAGCCTTGGCAGTTACCCACTTCCTCAGCTGAGGGTTTTACAGGTCATTTAATACATATAAACAAAGGTGCTTCATTTGTCATACCATGATCATTGTGTCGAGCTAAGTCCTTCCGATCAATATAGAGGTCATGGTCTGTGTCCAGCTCCCAAAATTTGCAGTAGATAACATAAAAATGTTCATATGAGAAGTACTCTGTCAACTGGTTAATATCAGCTTCTTCTTCCAACAATGCCACATTCTGTTACCAGAAGGATAAATAGAACACATTAAAGAATTTGTAAGGCATACCTGGAATGATCAGAGTTCTTGTAACTAGGTTAATATTTAATGCTATTTTGGTGCAACAATTTTAATCTTCAGAGACAGTGCACACACCACGCAGTGTGACGGCGGAGACTGAACACACAAGGTAGAAAACTCATGTGTCCGCAGAAGAACGAGATCAGCCAGACTTCTGCTAAACACATATGCATGGACATAGCTCTAGGTAAAAGATGACATTTAAACATATTCGAGTGTGTGAGAAGTAATGCACTTGAGCCTGTGATGATAGCATTTCTTCCACTTCCAAAAACTAATTTTGTTACTCTCTGAAGCATGTTTAGATGTTACATACCTGCAAGAAGTTACTTTTCCTGAGCTCGTTACAAGTTATTTTCCCAGACCAGGACCTATTTACTGTATAAAATATTCTCTGTATAACCTGCAAGAAATGGAAAATGGAAAGGTGATCTTAGGTATGATAAATACATACACTCCCAAACATTTGTCCAAGGTAAGTCTTAGCTCAGCTGATTTACAGAACTCCATCTCTCCCCTCTTCCTATTCTTCTCATTACTTAGAAGGCTGATGGTTCTCTTACATGTCTTATTACTAAATAATTTCTAAATCTATACCTAAACTTATCTTCCTAAATCTTATTGCAATGCTGCAGTACCTGTATCTCACATGGTAAAATTGCAGATTATTTGTGTGCTATCCAGAATATGTCTACTGGCAATTTCACTAACTCCCACTTTTCCAGATCTACAGGATATAATCTAATAAACCTATTAATATATCTCATTACTTCAGATTTAAAGACCTATATTTACTATAAGAATATTTTGCTTCATAAACAAAGTTATAGAAATAGAATTGGGATTGTTTAAGAATCAGAGCACAGGGGGATGTTACTACTTTCAAAGTCTGCAAATATGACAAAACAACATTTGACAGAGATATGTCCTGTAAGTGCACAGATCATAAACAAAGTTATAGAAATAGAATTGGGATTGTTTAAGAATCAGAGCACAGGGGGATGTTACTACTTTCAAAGTCTGCAAATATGACAAAACATTTGACAGAGATATGTCCTGTAGGTGCACAGAGAACAAGTTTTTCCCCTTTAATTTTATTCTATTTAAAGTTACCTGAAAAAGCACACCTGTTAAATACTACTAAAATAGTATAAAATGCTTTCTAGCTGAAGAACAACAAAAATCTATGCCAGAAAGATGACTAGTTCTTATGCCATGACTAATATTGGAAACAGAAACTAATCCATTCAGCATTGAGTATAGACTCATAGAACAGTTTCAGTTGGAAGAGACCTTCAAGATCATCGAATCCAACCTTTGTCTCAGCCCTACCAACACCTCTAAACCATCCCCCTCAGCACACCATCTACCCGTCTCTCAAACACCTCCAGGGATGGCGACTCAACCACCCTCCTGGGCAGCCTGTTCCAATGGCTGACAACCCTTTCAGCACTTCTGTTTAAATCACTATTATATGTACATTATTCTGGTAAACTCATGCACGGAGCATAATTTGCTTAGCTTTAGTTCACACACTTAAGACCTTAAAGTATGTTTTTCTTGCATCTTAGCTGAATTCAGTATTCACCTCAATCAGTTTGACTTAAGCTAACCAGATACACATTTTGAGTCAGTCATTCACCAACAAAAAAGCAGACAAAAATAAATCTAATAGAAACATATTATGAAGTATAAGTGATTAATGGGAGATTTATTATACCTGCTAAACAGCAAGACTAAGTATTGCATGTGTAGTATTTCATTTGCAACACAGTAGTTACTAGCTAAAAAACTCATCTCTTTAGGAGCCCTTTTCCCCTCAAATAAAATCTTTAGTTGGGCAGAGGTTTTATTATTCAAGTTTATCACTTTGTACTTTAATTGCAGTAAATCAACAGTTTAAACAAACCAATAATTTCTAAATTACAAACAGAAGAGTAATTTATCCATAAAATTCTAAATTAAAGCTTAAACTGTAGCATGCAGCAAGTTTTACAGGCCTTACTTTGAATAAGAGTAGCTGGTTCAATAAATCCAGAAAGGAGAGTAGACCAGCCTACTTCTGGTACTTCATTAGCTTAATTCTAATTGTGAGTTTAGGAAAGGCTCACTTTTGGCTTATACTACAAAGCAATTTTTTCTAAAAAGGTTTTGTCTTAGCTTTGCAACTTAATCCATCTGCATGCCATTATCTCATCTGTTATCCATTTAACTGCTCTAAAAATAACCCCCAAATTGAATGTTTGCTAAAGACAACTGGGAACAGACTTAAGAAACAGTTTTCTGAAGCGAACTGAAGCAGAGTATAAGCAAATTGTCAGAGAACTGTCTTCTCTGCTATGCTGCACAGTGGTTTGTCAGCAGGGCAAGGAAACGGTGCAATATGGAGATTACAGTTTCAAAAATACATAGTTCAGATATATACGTAACATATTTGCAGGTTAAATGTATTTTAACAGGGCAAATGTTTTCAATGTATTTCAGCTTTGTCTTGGACATAATGTACCTAACCTTACCACTAGACTGACCAACCAACTTGTGCCATAGCCTAGCAGACAGAAGGGATTGCTTCCGTGGTGGAAGAACACTTAGAAGACACTTGCTTCACTAAAGGGATGTATGTAATGTACGTACACATACACACCTATATATACACGTATGTGTGTATGTACAAACACGGCAGAAGAAAGGGTTATTTCATTTGTGACAGGACTTATTGTGAACAGATGTAAAACCTTAACTGCAGTGCTTACAAATTCCTTTAGCTAAAGCTTCACATAGCAAGGTAAAGCTTATTGAATACAAGCATAAAGCCGTATTTAATCTTAGAGAAAATAATCTATAATTATTAGTAATAACTTGCAGGACGGAGTTTTAGAAGACTGTATAGGGCAACAGCTACTCAATCCTAAACTACAGTAAGAAAGGGCAGAGATTCCTCCCTTCCTTTTCTTGATCTGCAGAATAGTATTCCGAATATTGTTGCTATATTCATAGCAATACTAGTTACTTTTGGGATGTTTTTATTAACCGCTGACTTCTGTTGAAGGCCACACTAAAAAATTTTGTCAGTAAAGCACTGCCAGCACTAGTTTATTCAATATTGCTAGACTCCAGCCTACTCAGATAAACTATTCCTCCAAAGAGAAGGAACTAGAAATGGCAGGACCTTTTCTCTCCCTATGGTCCTTCAGCACAGGCAGCAAGCTTTCTCAATTTTAAGCAGTGCAGGCTTGGATACAGCCCAGAATCTATTAAGAAAGAAAAGTATTCACAGGCAGAACCATTCCTCCAGTCACATCCGACAAGAAAGTTCTGAGAGCTCACACAATCATTAGAACAAGCAGCAAAACCTACTGCAGCAGGACATACGGAATAGGCTGGCAAAAGTCTGAGTAAGAAGGATACGAGGAGCCAAATACAAAAGCTTTCAAAAAAAATCAAACCTCCCACAGTTTTTGGTTTGGGTCAAAATATAAGCTGGATAAAAGATGATCAGCTCAGTTTTTTTTTTGTTGGAGAATATTCATTAAGCTTTTTTTCACATGCATAAAGTAAACTGAATGTCATTTTGAAGAATTTTAATCTTTTGTGACTTGAGTGGAATCAGCTGTCTAGTCTACAATTAAGAAAATTTAGTGTCACTGATTTTTTTTTCCCTTGGGCACAGAAAAAGTACTTCAGTCAGATAACCCTAGGAAGAGAGAAATAGAACTTTTCATGTAGAAAACCTGCTTAGAAAGAAAAATCCCCAGAGAAGAAAGTATCAAGCAGCTTCAATATTATCATTATTTTACTTAATACTGATCATAATCACAATATAGACCTTTCATTCAAAATTCCATTTAATTAATCCCAGAGTAAGGTCATGATTCTAATGAGTATGGTCTACAGCCACAATCAATGTTTAACACTCTGCTCATTCATTAACTTTTTCTACACTATTACAATTCAGTATTTCTCTTACGAGTATGAAGTTCAACAATTTCTTATAAAGGTAAAAGAAACCCAGCAAACACCTGTGATGCTTAAGAAACCAGAGTCTTGCTTCACAAGACTTCTAGTCATGTAGAAGTGAAGACTGACAACATACTCAACTTTTCTCAAGGGACAAAGATACTTATCCATATTGACTAATCTTAATAATTTGTAATTAGTACTCAGTTAACAAAAAAATGGCTTTTCCAAATATAAATTACTTACTGTGGTAATGTACCGAGAATGAAATTCAGATGCTTCTTTTAAAAATGATAGGCCAGGATGGCTATTCACCACATCCTACAAAACAAAGGAAAAGCAATATCCCAAGCAGTATTCATTAGTGACTATATAAAATGATTACCACAGAATAGCACATCTGCTTCCTTAACCAAAACAGTTCAAATGACCACAATTATTGATTGCTTCATGTAAATAACACTGCTGACTTAGTTTTAAAATTATCTTTTGAAGAAGCCAGATAAGCAAAAGCTTTCCTGTATTTTAGATAGGCTGAAGATTTTGAGCACTGCTGACTGCTGTAGCTTTTAATTCTGTGGCTATGATTCACAAAAAGCCACTTGAGGTTTTATTTATTCATTAGTAAAGGTGTTGTTTGCTTCTCTTTGAGAGGAGCTGTATCAGGTCTTAAATTCATATGACACTTTCCCTTTGCCCTCCAAATGCCCTCCTTGACTTAAATAACTTCAACTGCTTTCTAAACCATAAGGATTCTCTGAAATGTGCTATTCCTGCAAGCAATTTTAAATGCATGCATCTTGCTGTAGCTCTTAAAAAAAGACCTCACCTGACCCAAAATAATTAACTGCAAAAGCAGTCAGTCACTAGCATCTCAGTGGACCATACAAAGTGGGTTACACTAAATATTATCAGTAAACTTTACTGAAGACCGTGAAAAAGTATGTTTAGCTCAGAAAAATCTGGCCTTTGCCAGCTCATCATTCCGTTGTGTTCTCAGAACTAGTTTCAGTTGCAGTTTACCTGTAAAAAAGGAATGAAGTCTTCTTGCACCAAATAGTTGCATCCAGGGTTCATTAGAAGATGAACAAACTTTGCAGCATCGTCATAGCAGGTCTGAAGTATTCTGAAAGGTAAGTCTTTCCATTTAATAGTCGACACACAGAATTGCTCATGCTGCCTTGTACTGCCATAGCAGTACAAGCCCTACAAAACTGCAGCCATGATGTTTAATTCAAAAGCTAATTATAAATGCCATAGTCCACTCCAAGTGAACTTATCAAAGCACTACTGTCTCATATGTTTATGTTTAAGGAGGTGGGTGCACCATGTAACTGATTACATGAAAGGATATTTTTAGGCTAGAACTAGAAGGAGAAAGAATAAAAAGCATTTTGTCCAGAATTGGCATCTACAAGTTAGGGCCATGGTTTTCACTCTTCCCATAAATGGTCAGTCATTTACCAAACATTTTAAAATCTGTAAGCTCTGTAAAGAAAGATTTGTTTGTTTATGTTAAAGTGATGATTTAGTTACATTTTCCCAGAAACAAGTTTACTGTCAATGGTTGATTATGGAAAGTGTTTTATTCCCCTTTATAGATCGACTCTCATTCAGGGCTTAAAATACCACATTTCAATTAAAAAAAAGAAATACTAAGAAAAAAAAAAGTACTTGACTTACTTCCGCCACATTGCAACAAATTTATGAACCGACACATATCCTGTTCGTTCACCTCCAGCACAATAAAACAAAGGACCTTTCCAGTAAAGTGGGCATTCACAAGCCTAGAATTAAGCAGATATCAAGTCAGTTTATTGATTGATTATCTGAGGGTCACTGCCTTATTTATAAACCTTTCAAAAAAATTTAATTTTACAAGTCTTAAGAAGAAAATATTAAGACACAGATTTTATTTTTCTTTTTAAACTGTTTCTGAAAACAACTTTACTTTCTAAAATCATTTCAAGCGACTGCTTTAGGCTGAAACCCAAAAGCAAGATGCAAAACACAGGGCAACTTGGAGCATTCCTAAGAGATGAATGCAATCACATATCTGCTCTGTCGATGCTCCAAGCAGCAGAACAAAGTCCACGCTAACAAGCTCCACTGAAGGGCTGGGTACCTTTAAGCTGAGCTCAAGACAGCACAAACAGTTACACAAGTTCTAGATCCTGCAGAAGGATTATTATATATTTTCCCCCCCTTGTACTCAGCACTGGTGAGGCCACAGCTTGAGTACTAAGGTGCTGGAGCAGGTCTGGAAGCTGCCGAGGAGCCTGGAGAACAAGTCTTATGAGAAGCAGCTGAGGGGGCTGGGATTGTTTAGTCTAAAGAGAATGCTGAGAAGAGACCTCATTGGTCTCTACAACTACCTGAAAGGAGGTTGTAGTGAGGTGAGGGTTGGTCTCTTCGCCCAAGTAATAAGCAGTAGGACAAGTTGAAGTGGCCTCAAGTTGCACCAGAAGAGGTTTAGATTAGATATTAGGAAATATTTCTTTACTGCAAGAGGACGAGGCATTGGAACAGGCTGCCCAAGAAAGTGGTGGAGTCACCATCCTGGAGGTGTTCAAAAAACATATAAATGTGGCACTTCAGGATATAATTTAGTGGTCATGGTAGCACTGGGTTGATGGTTGGACTAGATGATCTTCGAGGTCTTTTCCAGCCTTAGTGATTTTAAGAACTGGAGAAAATTCACAGCTGTCTGGCTCAGAGGACAGCTCAATCCATCCGCATCCTTGCATATGCGTGGCGCATCATCTATCCAATTTTAAGTAGTAGGCCAGCCCACCCTGAGGAGCAGTACCTTGCTTCAGCATAACCAACAGTTACACCTTCACAACTTCAGTGCTCCTATGTGTAACTATGGTGCTGCTTCTCTGTCTGCTCTAAGATTCCTCAACTGTAACAGATAAATACTTGCCTCTCATCTAAAACCACCTATGACCCGGAGTATTTAAACATGTGGACTCTGTAGAGTTGGTGATAGGTTGGACTTGATGATCCCAAGGGTCTTTTCCAACCTGAATGTTTCTATGATCCTATGTCTGAGAATCTCATGTAGATCTCAAATAAAACTGTGACTACTCCAAGATGTGTAAGGTCACTGGAGCAAAAGGATGATTACCTCTCATGCGATAGTTTCACCAGTACTTTAAGAAAATAAGAAAAGTGACTTTGACGAATACTGCCCTCAGACTGAGAGGCTTTTACTTCAGGAGGATGCTCTTCATCATCAAATTGTAGGTTACCTGACCCTTACATCTGACAGGGAAAGGTCTATTCCATCTCTCCCTACTTCTACATGGAAAGGAGCTGTGGAAAGTAGGAATTCTATTATACAGCTTAGCAGTTAAACACTTCTGGCAAGGCAAACAAGGAGTTTCTAAACTCCCAGCCCCGCTCTTGTGGAAAGCCTTTGTTTCTGCTTTCCAGACCTCAGACTTTAAATGCAAAGTGACAGAAAACAGGTATCAGAACCTGAGACTCATTACCAACACCATGACTTGCAGTGATATTTCAAGCACTGATTCAATATAACAAAACAGAAACTTAAGTTGAATTTAAACTAGCTTACTGTCTGTTACATAGACCTTTAAAAATATTTACTGCTTTCTAAGCTCAGTATTTTGTCACTCTGCCATAACTCTAAATTAACTTTTCAGTAATAAGTAGAAGGCTACAATCTCAAGTTGCCAAACCATTCTGTCTCAATGTCTTTACAATGGAGGTTCATGACACCAACGAATGAGAAGAACAGCATGGGCACTTCGAAACAAAATGCATATTAACAGTGCTCTCACCTTAAGTCTGTTAGTCAATACAGAAGGCAGAACAAATAGTTCGAGTTTTTTTTCAATCTCTGACTCTTTTTGTAAGCAAAATGTAGGGCTGTTTGAAATATGGCTAATGCAAAGATTTCCACACATAACTGTGCTATCAACAATGCTGAATACTATGTATTCATCATTGTAGGAAACAATGATTCATACCTTGTAGGAAACAAAACCCCATAATACAAGACACCAAAGGACACAGAACTCATGTTTCCTTTCTATAGGTGTATAGGACAGCCAGCAAGTTCTTACCTTTGCAACCTTCCCCATGTCTTCTAATGTTGCCCTTTCATTTGGAAACTCAGAGAAAGTTCTCTCAATCTTGGCAATTACAGCATCTATATTCACTTTTTCCTTAGGACACCCTCGAGGAAAATAGAAAGTTGGAATGTTTTGACTAAGTGATGGTGGCAAAGTTTCTTCCTTCTTTGTCTGAACCTAAATAGAGAAACACACATTTGACAGTCAGGTACAATGAAGTCACATATAACAGTCATCCGCAGATGACCTGAATCTCTTGGTATTATATGTTACAATACACCTTCAAAAGGATTTCTGATGATAGGCTGAATAAGCTATTTAAAAATGAGAGCACATTGGAAAAAAAAATCATGAATATTTCCAAAAAACAGTCATTTAGAAACATTTCCAGGCTGTTAAAAATTTAATAAAAACGACTTCAGACTTAGGCATATCAAGTTTCAAGATTAATACACTAGACAGCTTCTTGGAGAGATCTTGGATCACTCAGGTTATATTACCAGTTTCAGAAGAAAACACTTCAACTTCTAACTTAACAGACAGGTCATGAAAGCATTTGCTTTTCAAATATTTCTAGTTTTACAGCTTCCAACTTTTGAAATAAGCATGACAACTTTGTAACAAACCAGCAACCTGCTAAATTTCGTTACAGGGAAGACATTTTTTCTGATACTAAAAAATGCTTGATTTTATAAAGGTAGTAAATCATTCCTGTAAAGGATATTTTTCGGAGTTGTAAACTATACATAATTATGACATGAGAGCTTAAAAATCTTTCTCAAGAACTTATGATATACCGTACTACTAAAAAAAGCCCCCCAAAAGCAGATGACCAGTAACAAAAGAAATTACTTATTTAAATGTACTTAGCTTTAGTAAAGAAGAATTTATCTTGTACTTAGTTTTTAAAAGAAATGTTAGTTTTTAAAAGAAATGCAGAGAAACAAAACTAACAAGCAAAATAACAATAAAATAATGTGGCAACTCAAAATTAGTAATTAAACATGAAGTCTTTTACCCCAAGGCCACTATTCAAACATAGAAACAATGGTTAATGCTATATCATTGCTCATCCTAGTACTAAATATGTTTAAGATCCTAAATTCTATCTCTCATCTCCAACCAGAACTGAGGTAAAGAAAGTCCAAACACCCAAAAAACTCCAGCCCTCATTTAATTTTGTATCACTTTTGTCCAAGTTTTCTCAGCTATCCTACCACCACAAAAATTCTTCCTTAGGTCAGTGAAGGAATGAGGTGCTCATGTAGAGAAGATTTTAATTTGCAGAGTTCCAACCCAGGAGCCTTCACTGGAATGCTACACATGCTAATAAAGAGCCTGAATTAACCTTTCCTTCCCCACCTCTGCTATTCCTGCTCGCAGCTGCAGAACTATCTCAGATAAGCTACAACTTTTATTTCATAGAGGAAGAAGTTACCTTGGATCAGTGACACCTACAGTCTGTGTCATTGTCTAAGAATAATACAAAATACAACTTTTTGATACCTCATCGCTAGTTCAGTGGTCCAGCTGAAAACCCCTTCTAAGCACACCTTTGGGAAGTATAAAGATAGCAACATTCTAAGTCACATTACCACTCACACTACAAAACACATGTAATTGCATTAACACCTTGTTTCATTCTAGAAACCCTGCTCTACACATCAGCGCTTTGGTAGAGCCCTCACAGTTACCCTACACAAAAACAAACTAAAACCCAAACGATTCCTTGGACTAAAACCACCCCCAAGATCGCTGGCGTGCTTTTGAGCCCCAGCAATCCAACCATCTTTTACTTTACAGAATCAAACTAGCACGTTCATTCTAAAGAGCAAGGTTATTTTATTTTATTTCCCTTTTTCTCTGTTTACAAGACGTGCCAGGATAGCTAACCCCACGCGAGCTGCTCCAGTTGCCACTGAAGCAGCAGGTGTTCCAGTTCTTCAGAGATGCCTCATCTGAGAAAAAGTACACTTCAAATGTCCCCCTCAATGTTTCAGGTTACATCAGGTAAATGAGTATTTTAAGAAAACCTAGTACTGACAGACAAAGCATTTTTAAAATTCTCCACTAGGAAAATTTAGAGCCTTGAATTTTAAAAGAAACTTTTTTTTTCCTTTAAAGGAAAGGCAGGGGCAAAGGGAAGACTACATTGGAAAAGGTCCCAAGAGAAGAAGAAAGACTATCAACAGACCTACTTGTTCATCGGAAACCTTACATTTTTTCAGAAACTACTAATTTACTTCAATATCTCAGAGCACTCAATAAATGATTTCCGTTAGTCCAGGTTAAAAGCTATTTTCAAATGCGTGTGGAGATATCAGTTCAGGATTAGTAGTAAGACCTGTTCTAGTAGGTGTAACTTTCTTGAGCGTTACTTAAGAGTTATGCACCAAAGGCTTTCTAGTTATTTATTTTTTCACCTTCTTGTTTATTGCAAGCTTGTTCCAGAGACCACAACTACAAAGAAGTTAAGCAACAGATTCAGAACTGAAGCTGGACACAAAAGTGAAGAAAATTGATTTTTCTAAGATGAAGACAGTTTAAGCATGACTTTGAATTAAGTATGGTTAGTGTAAAAATATTAATATTTTATCTCTAAGACAATATATTTATTCAACTCTAAACCCAAGCATAGTATACAAACCTCTCACTGCAAGACAAAATAACTCGTCCTATATCAAGAGATGCTGCCTATTTCTACTTGCTGTTTATACAAAGTCAGTGAAAGAAGCAACTATAAAAATACTTGACTTGCATTAAAACGAGTCTGATGACTTCACAACCATTTCCACAAGATTTATTTGGTGCCTACATAGAGGCATCTAGTGAGAATGCCTTCTAGGGCACAAGCCTTGAATCTTCCACGTGGTATCTATCTATCCGGCAGCCAGCTCGGAGCACAGCTCGCACCCTGCTTCTGCCACGCGCGGATGTTCTGAGCACACCGACCCTTCCTAGATGCCACTTGGCAACCTGCGGCTTGGACAACAGAATTACCCTGTTAATGTCAGTCAGCACAGGGCTAAGAGCCTGCACCAAAGAAAGAAATGGGTTATCCACAGCTACAATCTCCAGCTAACACACTGTAAAGTTAGTAGTGCATCTCTCTCCCCTCACCTTCCCAAGAAGGACTGGGGATTATTCTCGCAGTCTGAATTCCACACAACCACTGACTGGCTCCATGTATGACCGAGGCTGCTCCAATGAAGGAAAGCCTGATACCAAAAGGGCTCTAAAAGCTTCACTAACTCCTATAATTTCAGCTAGTTAGTTCTGTCGATGCGCATATTGTACAGCTGATGAAAAGTGTCAGTTCTGTCATTTCAGGGCAAAGTGCACTGATTGCATGAGATTAAGCTGTTTTAAAAGTAACTATAACTTTAACCAGGGAATTTCTTCATTAACAAGAAATGCTAGAAGTCTGCTAACACTGAATCTTTGGAAAATTTGCAACGGTCTGTTATTCTTTTTACACAACTGTTCCATTTCAGTGGTCAACCTGACATTTAGAAAGTGTTGTACATCTTCTTACAGCTCTACATTAAAACTTTTAATACTAGTACCAGTAAGCTAAACTGATAAAAGAGGCTAGTTTTGCAAATGCAAAAACAATAACATGCTTGGAGTTAAGGATAACAACTGCGTATGCTTGTAAACAACTCATATGAGCAGGTAGGTGCTCCAGTGTTAGGACTGAACGGCACACGAACCTTTGCAATAAGTGTATATAAAGCCCAGAACCTGAAATTATATTGTGAAGTTGCCGCTGTGGTGAGGATTCCTCAAAAATTCATTGTTAGTAATAATATAAACAAGCTATCATAAGATTTGTCTATTGGAGAACTCAAGGAAACCTTTAATACATAACCAGTTTTCGCTCCTGCCATGTAGAACCGTAAGGACTGCCCATAGGTAACCACCACTTAACGTGCTAGACTTTTACAAAGGAGGAAGTAGAATCATAGACTCATAAAGGTTGGAAAGGACCTTTAAGATCATTGAGTCTCACTGTGATCACTGTTCAAAGGGCAAACTTCCCATTTTGTTTAGCAACTCTCTAGATGCTTTTCCAACTGTTTTCCAGCAGTTGTTTATAATAATGCTATCAAACCATTATTATATCTACAATATAGTAATATATTAGTAAATACTAGAGAATGTGGACACACCTCATTCCAAAGAGAGAAGTTCAGTATTCTTGCTAGATAAGTCTTCTTACACCTTACAGCATACAAGTTGCACTCAACAGTAACCCTGGTTCTTAGCAAAAAGACTACGTGGGTTTTAAAATGAGGCGCCCTTTTCCCTCTCTCTCAACTTAAGAGTAATTCAATGACAGCATGTATATCTGAAATAAAAAGGAAGGGGGTGCTTGTTCCCAGGTATTTTAAGACTGGACACTCCATAAAGTCTAAATCTACATCCACCCTGAAGTACTGAACCCCACAGAGAGGTTGAGTATGTGAATTGAAATGCAGGTGAGTGAAATGTCACTTAAAAAGGACTATCTGGAAAAGGAAACAAGGCAAATATGTTTATGAATGCAGTATTTTTTTAGATAGCTTACTGATTAAGACACAAGCTCACTGAACTGATTTGGTATTTGCATTGTTTTGATATGTCTAAAGAAAAAAAGATAACTTTAGAAACGCTAATGCTTTCTAGTATCTGACAGACATCAACTGCCTGTTTCTCTGAAAAAAACATTTAAAACACATTTACATAGTTAGGGTTCAGCTCTTGCTGTATTTGACATGAATTTCCACAAGGATGCCTATATTAGAAAAAACTCACAGAATCACAGAATTGTTGGAGTTGAAAGGGACCTCTAGAGATCATGTAGTCCAACCCCCACGCTAAAGCAGGATTGCCTAGAGCACATCACACAGAACTGCATCCAGGTGGGTTTTGAAACTTGCCAAAGACAGAGACTCCACAACCTCCCTGGGCAGCATACAAAAGGGTCAGGACAATAGGACCCAAGCGCCTTCTGCTTCACATTTATGCCCAACTTCAGATTAAGTTTTTAGTAAGCAATGGTACCCCAAATAAAAAATGGTATTAAATACTGTAAAGAGATTTTTACCTATCAAATATATAAAAGTTTGGTTCAAATACTTAGAATTTTTTCAATATAGAGGGGGGAAAAAAAAAAGAATGCTGCAATACTTTTCAATTATGTAATGCATAAGTTAATCTAGTTCTTCCATAGATTGGATCTTCTATTCTTACATATCATGGTTTATACTAATCTGACCTGAGTAAAACAAAGTGCATAATAAGCTAAGAGTATTTTCTGCAGAGGTATGCTATTTAGCCTTTTAAATCCTAACACCCCTGCAACGACGCACGCACAATGCTGATAAACTACTCAACAACAAAAGGAGATACTGTGTGAATTTCCCTGATGTACAATACTAGATGGAGAGACTCAAAAAACACGGAGATACCCAAAAGGAACAGAGTGGTACTGATGAGACCCAAATGTTGTTTAGCACACACCCTTGAACATTCTAATCTTAGGCTACATAGTTGTTTTTTTTTAGTGAAAACTCTCTCCTTTATTAAATGCAGTAAAATCGTAGAGAACACAAGGTGTCCCATGGCCTATCAAATGGTAATTCTGAGTG